AAAGGCCTGAGCAAAGGTGGGCGGGGCTAGAAGGGGTCAATGAGGGACAAAGGAGAACATATGTAATACTTTGAACAATAAAGCTCTTTTTAAAAAAAGATAATTAGATGAAAGACATATCCTATCTCACATCTCTTTAAATTTCAGAGCCAAAAATGATAATTGTAACCAGTACAGTTAATGTCATTGAGCCAGATCTTCAAGCGGTGAGATCATTTGTCCACAGTAATACTGAGAGATAACTAAGTCTTAAACTCATCTTTTCTGGACTTGTAGCCCAGTGCCCTTTCCAGTCCTTTCTACTGACATAGAGAACAGCATGTTATCAGGACTTTCGGAAAGAATCTTACGAAATGTCTGGTGTAATAAGCCTACAGTACACTTCCATATGACTCTGCCTTGGGGCTGAATTTTATCACCAGCCACTATGTTCTTTCCAAGGGCTTCAAAAATTTCCTTCAGGAGATGATTCACTTCAGAAGATGATATTATCACCAGACAATAACAAAGACATTCATAGCTCTTCCTCACCAGAATTTTGCAACAGCTGTGACCGAAGTGACTAATCTAAACATGCATAAAACTCTCCAGCAGAAAATGATAATACTCCATAATTTGCTAGTGAAGGTTACTTGAGAAGGGAAATATGGGGAATTATAAAAAGAATTAGGGGAGATATTTAAGACAACTGGTTTGATATATATATTGTATGTACATCTTTTAGGAATCCTATTTTGATATTTCTGTATAACAAGATTGATAATAGAAAAGGAGCATGGTGCCTTGTAAATACAGAGCCTGAAAAAATACTTGTTCAAACTCAATTGGTATCCATGATATATCTAATTTATTCTACCTCATGGCATGGAGGTGGGGCTGGAGCTGTGCTAGTAAAGTGTGGTTCTATTATCAAGCAGAAAAAGTTAAATACATTTTCAATGCATTGATACTACAGATTTCTACGTTTTTTCCTGGCCCCATTTTCATTAAATAGGGAAACTACTCACTTTGGAAATAGAATCCTAGGTTTTATTTTTACTTAGGCGGCTGTTTACTTGAATTCACCTGGAAAATATGAACAATAACTTGTAAAGATGTAAGGGTAGGAAACAGGTTTGGCTCAATGGATAGAGCATCGGTCTGCAGACTGAAAGGTCCCAGGTTCGATTCCAGGTAAAGATGTAAGGGTAAAGATCAAGGATATATCAAATTTTCCACAACAAATTCAGATCTGGAAATAAGAGAGAAAACCAAGAATCGGGGCTTACTGGAATTGGGAATGGGAAAAAAAAAAAAAAAAAGGAGAGGCGGGGGGACAAGGTGAGCAGGTCCTGTATAACTTACTCAGCTGAGAGATTTGTCAGACCACCATTTTTAATGACGAGTGACTCAGGATGCAGCAAAGTCTAAGACTGACTTAATGGTTCACTACTACCTCCTTCAATCTCTCACTACTAAATGCAGTATTTCTAAGACTTCCCATCTGTAACTTCTAAAAATATATGACACCTTCTAGTGTATTCTAGAGATAGGGATGTTGCTCTAACAACTTGTGTCTGAATATTGACATTGCTTTATGAGTAGTTTGGGCTAGTTATTTTAACACTCTGTGTCTTAATCTGCGAAGTGGGGGTACAGCCCACTAATATAGAGTAAGTGCTGCATACATAACAGATGCTACTATCAAACACCACCACTGTGCTCTATTCTCAGACTGAGTATGCCATTATTCCAGCCCAGTCTATGTCATAAGTGCTGACTTCCTCTTTGGAATTGCAGGTAGAGGTGGCAGGAACATGATTGTAAAGCAGATAATGCTTTCTATAATGACAGGAATTATCAGAAATTTGGATTCGTGGATGTTCACAACCTCTATGAATGGGCAGAAATAGTTATTTCTGAGTTAGCCAGGGAATTTTAAAAACAGTATGTGTCTGAAAAAGACCACTTAAAAAATGTGCTATGTTATAATGCCATGTTTTTCATGTTTATTACATTGCCTACCAAGAAACTGCAGCACTGGATATGTAGAAAGTATTCAGGAGATATGTGCTAAAGGGGTAAAGATTCTCAAAAAAGTTTTACTTCTTTACCGGCAGAACTACAGTACAGTAAGCTGCTCTCTACGGTGCCTCCTCTAATGGTGTTTTGGTCTCTGTGACCGAGCTAATGCTTGAAATGACCCTTATCCTGTTTTGTTCTCACTAGTTTGAATGATAAAGTATAGCTTGGTGTTTAAGAGCTTCTGGATCCAATTAGGTCTGGTCTCAAAACATAACACTGCAATTTTTTGCTTGTCTCTAAACAACTATGTCATTAGGAGCAGGCACATTTTTCTGACCTAATGTATGCATTCAGTGGGTCTTTATTATTATGGAAAATAAGGACAGCTGCAAAGGAGAGATTTGCATTTTATGAGCCTACTATTACCTTCTACTTGGGGTATTCTCTTTTTAGTTGATAAAACATCCTTTCAAATGTATCTCAACAATCATTCAAAATTTTGTGTCATCCACCATTTCCTTTGGCCATGACCACATTTACATTATTTGTGTTGAAATTTGTCTGATAATGCCAAGTATGAAAGTACCTTGGAAAATTTTCATATTGTCATGGTAAGAACTTCATTTAATACAGACACTTATAAATACCATATTTTATTTTTGAAGCCTTTGATCAAAAGCTATAAAATCTTATGAGGCCTGACTTACTTCACTTCTCAGTTCTTATTTTAAGCAATATATTTAATGAATCTTGACATTTTACTTCTTATTGTTGATGTGTACTGACCAAAGTGGTTTTTTATATTATCCCTGTGGTACTTGAATATCACTATAGTTTAAATGTTTCCTCAATACCATATTAAGCAATTTTGAGCAAGGCTATGAAATTTTTATATAAATTGTACTCATGCATATATCTATGGGATATCCCACCTATCTATAAAAAACAGCTTGATTTGTCTCCAGTTTATCAAGGAATTGTAAAATGTACTATTAAAATCACGTCCCAAACCCCAAGTATGTGTATAAAGGTCAAAAGATCCTGGGTCAACATTAATTTTCTAATATCAAATTTATTTCAAAGACAAATAAATAGCAAGTGTGATCAGCATTCTAACTAGAAGCAAATCAGATTATTTATTTCTAGCCAAACACAGAAAGACAAATACTGCATGATCTCACTTGAATGTGGAATGTAAAAAAGTTAACTCTTAGTAATAGAAAGTAGAATGGTGGTTACCAAGGGGTGAGGGAAATTCAGAGATGTTGATCGAAGGGTACAAACTTTCAGCTGTAAGAGGAATTCTGGTGTACAGCATGGTGATCATAGTTAATAATAGTGTGTTATATACTTGATATTTGCTAATAGAGTAGATCTCTCACCACCCACAAAAAAAAAAAAAGTGGAAACTATGTGAAGTGATGAATATGTTAATGATATTGATTGTGGTAATTATTTCACATTGTATACACATATCAAAACATCAGCCCTAGTTGGTTTGGCTCAGTGAATAAAGCACTGGCCTGTGGACCAAAGTGTCCTGGGTTCAATTTTGGTCAAGGGCATGTACCTTGGTTGCAGGCTCCTCGCTGGCCAGGGCCCTGTTCGGGTTCATGCAGAAGGCAACTAATTGATGTATTTCTCTCACATTGATGTTTCTCTCTAACTTTCTCTCTTTCGCTCTCCCTAAACCAATGCAAAAATACCCATGGGTGAGGATTAATAAAAATAAAATAAAATAAAATAAACACATTAAAAAACAAACAAACAAAAGAACTCACCACATTGTATGCTTTAAATAAATATAATTTTTATTCCTGGGAAAAAGATATACAGTATTTCTGTTGAAAGTATTTATTTTATTTTTTATAATACCTAAATAATAAATCTATACTTATAAATTTAATATTGACAGAGATCATTTATATAGTTTTCTATAAAACAATAACAATATCATGTATTTCAATGATTAGTGTGCCCTACATGTAAATATTGGGTTTTAGGACAATAAATGGTTGATTGTATTTAAATACCTATCATAATAAGTATCTCTGAGCTACCTCAGCAGTTCAGCAATAACCTACAAGCTTGACAGCGATGCCTCTGGTGGGCACCTAAGGAGGAAACTGGCTTCCATGTGCTTAGGTGATGCTGAGTTTCCCTTTCAGTCCAAGCAGGGACCTCATTGCTCACGTCTGGTAGAGATGGTGGAGTGAAATGGTAGAGATGGCAGAAAGGAGACACACACCCTGAAAACTGTTTCAGAGCATTCCTTCAACAAGTCAAGGAAGGAAGGAAAGAGGACTTCCTCTTGCCACAAATCAAAAGGGCATTGGAATTCATTTCACATATATATGAGTGAGGTGAGAAAAACAGAAGTTTTTTGTTTTTGTTTTTTAATTTTGGGCTTTTTGATTGTATAAACTGAAGGACACAAATACATGGACCCTTATGCCAGTCTTTCAGTAAATCACGATTTAAATATATATATGCTAAGATGTCATATTTTGGGGCTAATATATATTGATTTCAGAGAGGAAGAGAGAGAGATAGAAACATCAATGATGAAAGAGAATCATTGATCAGCTACATGCCCAACACTGGGGATGGAGCCCACAACCTAGGCATGTGACCTGACCAGGAATTGAACTGTGGCCTGGTTCATTGGTCGACACTCAACCACTGAGCCACACCAGCCGAGTAGTAAATCATTATTTTTGTTTGACATAAACATGGTAGTGGGTAAGCATAAACCAAAAGAATCATTTGTTCCTGAAGGTGATGCACTTGGTTCCTTGTGGGTACACCTAGCCAGCAGCAGTTAGGGCCTAGGAAAAGCTCCTGATTCACTCAAGAATGACTTGTGATGGAAAACATTCAATCTTTTAAAGGGATAAACCCATCATTTTAAAGATAAAATTGAACACATTTTCTTATAGCTGGAGGTCCAAATTTCTCCTTAAGAGTTGGCTTTTTTTTCTTTTTCTTTTTTGTATTATAGGCAAATACAGTCCCCCACTACCACGAACAATGCAGTCAAGTTTCCCACATTTGGGGAAATTGCAAGGGTCAGTACATCCAGAGTGCAGTGGATAAGCCTCACCTTGGGGAAACCATTTTCGTGATTATGGTATCACCCCTGACAGTGCACCTAAGGATGAGGACAATGGGGGGTGAGGAGGGGGTGGAGGATGGGGTGGGAACCTGGTGGAAGGGGAAAGAAATGAGTAACCTTTGTAATAATATGAACAATAAAGATTGATTTTTAAAAAAAATATTTAAATCAAAAAAAAAAAAAAGAGAGAGAGAGAGTTGGCTTTCCGTGGTGCCTCAACTAGATAATATAATCTCTCTTGTAACACCTGTAACTTAAGTGCTAAAATGGTAGCACCTGTGTGGAAGTAATCTGTTTACCCTCACTCAGGGTCTGCTGGTCAGCACCTGCAGCTGATGCCCCTGTGAGGAGGTCAGGAACACAACAAAACACGGTGGAACCCTGATAAAAACGAAGAGAAAGAAAACAAAAGTAACTGTAAGTCAGTGAAGCCCCCTTGGGATTTCCAAGTTCAAGGGAATTCTTCCTCAGCTGAGGTTTCAATAATGGGACAACAGTTGACCACAGAATAGAGGCAAAATACCACAGTGCTAAAACCGTTATTAAAGGCAGAAACATTCAGACCTGAGTATCTTATGCCAGGTTTGATGAAGAGCGAACAATGGTGGAGGAATCTGATAGATAAAGGAGTATGGGACAAGTGTAATACACAGGGTGGGGGAAATGTAGCAAGTCCTGGTAGTGAAGAATCTTCTAGCATCTCTTTTTCTTCAGAGATTAAGATGCTCCTTTCCACTAGACCTAGAGAAGTTGCATCTCATATTAAATGTGTTGGGTTGTTTTGGGGGGTTTGGCGGAGGTAATAGAGGGGAAGTCAGAGTGACCATCCTCTTTCTGTTGTTTTCTCAAAGTCCTTCGGTTTATGGTATTCAATATGCCAAGATGTCATATTTTGGGGCTATTTGTCTGGATCACCATCAGTACATATGTATACGTGTACATCCATCATAGTCACCTATCCCTATTAGTCCATAGCTACTATTTCATTATCCCACTTCTAAAAGGTTACATTGACTTAACCAATCCCCTACAAGTGAACACAAAGGTTGGTTTCATTGTTTTGCTAATACCAACAGCCTGGTATCTTTGAATACTTGTGTAAATTCCTAGCGGTGGATTTTCTGTGCTGAATTTTATACGCATATTAAAATTTGATAGAGATTTCTATATTAGTATTGACAGGGATTGAAACAATTTACATTTCTATAATGAGTATACGAGAGTGCCTGTTTATCCACATTCTCCTCAGCACTGGGTTTAATCAAACTGTTTTACCACTCTCATGGATTAAAAAAAAAAAAATTATGCACTGTTTTGACATTCTTACCCCCCCCCCCATATGTCACTATGTTTCTTCAGCAAAGATTAAATAACTAGAATCAGTGGTCAAATGCTTCATACATAAATTGAAATGGTTTTAAAGCTTTCCTTTAAGAGAAAGAAAGTAAATTGCATTTGCCTATACCTAGGTCAGAAAATGCTCAAAGGACATTGAATGTGGAAACAGGTCTGGAAAATAAGCTTGTCTTTTCTCCCACAAAGGTACTATCACATACACTAGTCAAAATAAAATCGTCTTGCAGAGCATTGCATGTTTCGGCAGCAAAAATTAGCTCTGTGTCTTTCATTTTCTATTATACTTGGGAATAGCTTGCTGCGTGCAGAGTGTACATCTGAGACTCACAGATGTGGTCTAAATGACTCATATGCTAAGCCCTTTTAGCTGGCCATTGCTGGGTCAGTCGCCTGACATAGAAAAGCACAGAATGATGTATCCTCACAGAGTTGGAAATTGGATTGAGTTTACAATCTGGTTTTGCCTTTAAAGACACCACTTAATGCAGTGAAGCTCTACTTAGAGTATAAGGGATATTGTTTACCACTTTTTATTCAATGTCCTAACCCAAGGGGGGGGGGGGGGGGACCTACAAAAATGCTCTAACAAATAGTAGGCTTAATTAATCAAAATAATTTACTTTACCACATTATATTTTTACAACGAAAGAATGCTAACACCAAAAAAAGTCTGTACCTACATAACAAGAGAATAACAACAATAAAAGAAATGTAAAAATTCTTCATTGATGCAATTATTGCTCTGTGTGGGCATCTTATTTTCAAATTTTGTTCACATTTTTATGGTAGTTAATATGAAAATAATTACTCCTATAATATAGGCCACATAACTATTGATTATGTTATTTACCAATAGCTTGGTCATTCAGGTTTATTGCTCCATAATTTAACTGTAAGTCTGGTTTGGCACCAGGAGGAGGTGTGTGTGTAGCTTCCACCTGTTCTGCAACCATCTTGGACTTATCCCTCATTTTTTTTCCATTGGTTGCTTGTTTTCTTATTGTTGAGGTTTAAGAGTTCTTTATATATTGGAGATCACAGTTCTTTATCAGATGTGTCTTTTGTAAATATTTTCTCTCCGTCTGTAGCTTGTCTTCTATCAGCTTTTGCCTCACAGAGTGTGATGTTCTGTTATTAGGTGCATGCATGCTAAAAATTCTTATGTCTTCTTAGAGAATTAAATTCTTTATGTAATACCCCTCTTTATTCCTCATAACTTTCCTTATTTTTAATTCTGTTGTATGTGAAAGTGATATATTGTAGTTAATCCCACTTTGTCTTAAAGACTGTTACCATAATATATTTTTCTCCATCCACTTACCTTTATATATGTGTGTCTTTATATTTAAAGTAGGTTTCTTGTAGACAACATATAGCTGGGCCGTTTGTTTGTTTGTTTGTTTGTTTGTTTGTTTTATTCATTCTGATAATCTCTGTCTTTTAATTGGTGCATTTGGACCACTGACATTCAGAGTGATCATTGATATTGTTGGATTAATATCTACCATATTTGTTACTATCTTCTATTTGTTGCCCTTGTAACTTGTTCTATTTTTGTCTCCAATTCTTTCTCTCTTTTTTTGGCCTTCTGTTCTTGCATGTCATCTACCTTACCTTATGCATATAGAGCCTATAACATATTAACCCTCGTTATTTTAAATCCCCAGTCTGAAAATTCCAAAATCCCTGCTATTCCTGGTTCTGATACTTTCTCTTTCTCCTCCAATTGTATGTTTGTTTGTTTGCTTGTTTGTTTGTTTGTTTGTTTTGCCTTATAATTCTATTGATAGCCAGGCTTTGTGTACTGGATTAAAGCCTTTAGTAGGTATAAAGGCTATTGGTTATGTGGGGGTACGTTATGAGGGAAAACGAAGCATTCTAGAGTCTAAGATTAAGCCTCAGTGTTTTAGAGAGCCTAAATGTAAACTGAATGTAAACTTAACAGGTGTTTCTATTATTTTCTTTCTCTGGAAAAGAAGCCTAGAGTGGGCTGGAGTTGGGTATTTTTCTTTCTCCAGTTCTGTCCCTCTCTGATAAATTCCCAGCAGGTTCAATTGGTTAACTATTTCTCCTGGGAGGCCTTATTGAGAAAACCAAAGTGCTCTGGTGTATTTCACAGTGGATTATTGTTTCTTCCCTTCCCTTTGCAGGAAGCAGAGGAAATTTTTCTCAGATCTTTACTATGGGAATCTGGTCAAGCTCAAAGGTAAATCTCACTATATCTTGGCAGTTCCTCTCTGACTAGGCCCCTGAAGTTTTTAACTCTCAGACGTGTACAAACTGAGCCTCCAGCAATTCACCAATTACAGTTCAGCTTTTCCGACTCCACAACTGGTTGCTGAAGTGGTTTCTGCTCCTGAGACTCCCTCTGGAAAGCTGAGGTTTTCTGAATTCATCTGTCTGTCCCTCTCATCTTGGAAAGCAGCAATTTTCCCTGCATTCCCTCTTGTTCATGGGTTCTAGAAGAGTTGGTATTTCAGTCTGTTCAGCTTTTTACCTGTTGTTGGGATGGAATAACAACTTCCAAGCTTATTATATGCAGAACAAGACAAAACTAATATTCTAAAAACATCCATCTCTTCATTTAATTTTGCCCCTCCCCTCAAAAAACCTATTAGACTGAATTCTTAGAAGCTACAAAGTAGAGGCCCAACTCCTTGGGTGGGCATTTAAAGCCCTTCAAAATCTAAAATAAATCTGTCTTTCAAGTGTTATTTCTCATTTCTGCCTATAATAAGGTAAGGACTGCAGAGGACTTCCCAATATCCATTTTCCTCTCTTACATTGGTACATTTTGTGTGAAAACGTTGTCATCTTGTGGAATTGTTATTGGAGGAAGTGGAATTCTTGGGGTACCAGGAGGAAAAGAATTTCCTGAGGTCCCCTTTTGGGGGATGTCATTTTGTGGAAAGCTTTACTGATGACATAAAATTAAAGAGGTTCCCTTTCAAGGTCCCATCTCTGTCAGTCCCGCCGTGGACAATGTCTAATCCAGTCTTCAGCAAGCCACTATGAAGGCCACTGTAGGATTAAGAAGGATACTTTTTTTTTTTTACTTTATTAAGATGTAATAACATACAATAACTTGGGCATTTATAAGTATACAATTTGATAAACTATATATTCATCCATAAAACCACCAACACAATCACGTTAATTATTCCCAAAAATCTTAGTATCCTCTTGTAATCCTTCATCTCTACTCCTTCCCATGTATCCCTATCCTCAGGCAACCAATAATCTCTTTTTTATAGATTCATTGGCATTTTCCAAAATTTTATATAAACAGAATAATATAGAACACACTATTGTATGTTTTATATTTGGAATGATTTTTTTTATATTAATCCAATTGGTTGCAGGTATCAATAGTTCATTCCTTTTTATTGGCAAGTAGTATCCAATAGCATGGATTTGTTGATACATTCACCTGTTGATACATATTTAGATAATTTGCAGTTTGACTCTATTAAAATAAAGCTACTATGAACATTCTTGTACAAGTATTCTTGTACAAGTACAAGTATAAGCTTGCCTTTCTCTTGAGTTAAATACCTAGCAAAGGTTAATATAGTAAGTGTATGTTTAATATTTTTAAGAAACTGAGAAACTGATTTGCAAAATGGCAGTGTATTTGAGTTCTACTTCCTCTGCATATTTCTTAACACTTGATCAATCTTTTAAATTG